GATATAATGAGAATTTTTCAGTGAATAATCGATTTACTTTTCAACCTTCTATTCAAAGTTTACTCACTATCAAACAATAAAAAGACCTGTGGTGGCGCAGTAGCTACTGGTTTTTTTTGTTTTGTGTTTTCTTTTTTTGGTAAAAAAACTTGTTGAAATAACTCGTGCTGAAAATTCTATATTGTATCAGATTATAATATTGAATAAAGCCATTAATTATTATTATTATTATGTTGTAAAGTCTTACCAGGCATGATCAACCAGTCTCGTGTTTAATTTATTTAAAGTATTGTTTTTTTTCGCTTTAACAACTGAACACTGAAATGAGTTGTCCAATCGACCAATGTAAGAAAAAAATATGATTTTAGTGATTTCATGTTTTGTTTTCTCCAATTTCCCATCAAGAAAACAAATCTTTAACTATCACACATGTCAGTAAAATAAATTAGAATCCATGGTATTTGTGATATTGCTGTCTTTTTCTTTTTGTACAAATTAACCAATTGTTTTGGATTATTTTGTTCTAGCTTACTTACTTACGTCTGTGACTCCCGATGGAGCATAGGCCTCCGACCAGCATTCTAAAACCCACTCTGTCCTGGGCCTTCCTTTCTAGTACTATCCAACTTTTGTTCATTCTTCTCATGTCTGTCTCCATTTCTCGTTGTAATGTGTTCTTTGGTATTCCTCTTCTCCTTTGGCCTTCAGAATTCCATGTAAGGGCTTGCCTTGTGATACAGTTTGGTTCTTTCCTCAATGTGTAGCCTATGCACTTCCAGAGCTTCTTACTCCTCTGCAATCTGGTTTGTTCTCTCCCACAGTACGTTGTTGCTGATAGTGTCTGGCCAATGGACCCGAAGTATTTTGCATAGACAACTGTCAATAAACACATGTATCGTCTGGATAATGACTTTCGTAGTTCTCCCGGTTTCCATCCCATACAGTAGAACTGTCTTTACATTTGTATTAAAAATTCGGATCTTGGTGTTGGTTGACAATTGTTTTGAGTTCCAGATGTTCTTCAGTTGTAAATATGCTGCTCTTACTTTGCCGATCCCCGTCTTCACATCTGCATCAGATCCACCATGTTCACCAATGATGCAGCCCAGATATGTAAAGGTTTGTACATCTTCCAAAGCCTCTCCGTCAAGTGTGATTTGATTGGTGCTTGTTGTGTTGTATTGAAGAATCTTGTGTTTCCCTTTGTGTATATTGAGACCTACTGCTGCTACACTGGTCGTCTTCTGCATTTGTTGTTGCGTGTGTGATAGAACAGTCAGGTCATCTGCGAATTCTAAATCGTTCAGCTGCATCCTAGCTGTCCACTGTATCCCATGCTTCCCTCCAGTTGTTGACGTTATCAGTCGATCACCAGGAGGAAGAGAAAGGGCGAGAGCAAGCAGCCTTGCCTGACATCAGTCTTAACTTCGAACCAGTTAATGAGCTGTCTTCCATGCACGATTTTGCGGTTTAATTCATCATAGGAATTCCGCCTGAATAGAATGTAAATATATTTGCACACCAAAACTCGACACAATCCAATAACAATCAGAAAAATGCCTGGAAATACTGGACACCGCTCACTTACTGAACTTTGAAAAATAGGTTGACAGCCACAGCGTTTGATATATATAAGTATGCAATTATAGTGTCGTTTGATATGTTAAGCCCACATACCTTATTTTAGCTTATGGATAAGCCAATTTACCTATCCATCTTGAGTCATGTTTTGATCTTGTTAATTATTCACTTATTAACCCTGACTATTTTTTTATATGAGCGTATGTGTGTGCAAACTTTTCATCTCATTCATCACATTTCTGTAACTTATTCTTGTCTGACTATAAATATTGATTAAAGTGAGTTGGCTTATCCGCGTGTCATTTACACTTCGCTTGCTGACATTTGTTCATGTGCTGATAACTTTCTGGCCTGCGTCATTTGTCAATAAACTGTAATTGTCGCTTCTCTTTGTCTTCTGATTTTACTCACCGTTAATATTGGTATTATAGCGGTTATCGATTAACGAAGCACGGCACTACAGGCCCTCTCGGTCTCCTACATTGTACGAGCATTCCATATACCTAATTTAATGGTTGCTCTGGTTGTCAAAAAGGGAATCGGCCTCGTGACTTCCGAAGGAATTCGGCCTTCACCATGAGGCGTCATAACTCTTTTAAATGAAGAACTGACACCCAGGGTCGAGTACAAATGATTTGAATTGCTTCTTCTGGTAAGCGATTTTTTAGCAAGTTAGTTTTCTACAGAATGGGATCGCTAACTCCATGCCCAACTCTCCTCTCTTATCCGGGCTTGTGACTGGCAGTAACCCCATAGGGGCCCCAGACAGAGTTGAAACAGTCAAAATACAAGGACAAAATGTCTTTCACAGTCTTCAGTTTAAGACAATTGACAATGAAAACATGTTAAAATATTGCATGATCTTTACACATACCAACATATAATCTATATGTATATGCATAACTTTCTAGTCTAATATTTTCACTCAGCATGTTTATATTTAATCGGCTTTTTTCATATTCTCTTGTATAAGCCACATGAATTCTCTTAATCTAAATAGTAACTAAATTCCTATTGATGTTTAGGCATTTCACATGATTTTATAATAAATAATTATTATTCCAATTTCGTTGTCTTTATTTATCGGAATATGTTCTATTTTTATTGTTGTCTAATTGATTTCTTTTTACTTGAATAGTTCCATGTTGTTATGTTCACATTATTCCATGTAAAAAAAACATTCATGATATGAATAAAGCAAAAGTATACAGTAAGGAAGAATGAAATTTTAATCACAAAAAAGGGATATGATGTAATGAAAACTATAAGCTCCATCAACCTTTTATAGTAATGAGAATCATAGACTTGCTAGTGTTTAAACTTTAATAGGTAGTTTTTTTTGGAGTTCCTGTAAGAATTCATGACTAGTAGTGTTTGATCAGATCAAATGTGAGATAATTATTCATTTCAGGCAATGGATTATATTTTCACAGTATCTCAAATTGATTGTATTTAGATCGATAAAATATGAGATTCAGTCTCAGTGGTCTAAACTTCAAGCTCTGACCGTGCGAATTGAAGGTCTAGTACTCGCTACCCCATGATGTAGCTGCACATTTCTGAGGAGTCTCATATCAGAACGAAAAAACTGGCTAGTACTGTTGTGGCATTTAGGTTTTCTTCAACGCTCCTTAATCGATTGTTAGATAAAGTTTGTTAGAAAGAATCTGAATTACAAGTCCTTACATTAAGTGTGTCTTCTCATCTATAGACTAACGTCCTATACCGTGATCAATGACACGCTTCTGCTGACAACAATCAACGTTGGGTCGTTGCTAAGTTTACCTATTGATCTAGGGAACACAGCCCTCGGTAAGATCATCAGAATGTAGAGTGAAAGAAGTTATATAATTAATAATGTGATCAAATGTGTTAGTGGCGCGCTATGTAATCTAAAGTTCGTAGAGCCTATTTCTGGTTGCCTCTTGGGACTACACTTCTAGAAAGTCCTGTACTGGGACGAAACGGCTATTTAGTCCTATTTATTAAGTAATTACACTCCGTCTGAGGTCAATCCGTGACTAATACCGATTGCCAATCAAAAGTAGTCTCCACAAAACCACTTCTAAACAATAACATAATCATATAGATTTAATTTAGAAAATTTATAGAGGGATGGGATCTGTAGATCATTTGAATTGGGTTGACAATGATCACTGTTGGGAAAGAGTCTAAGCATCCTTCTTTAGAACTCATTACAAGGTTCCATAACCTCAATTGTCCCGGCTTCGAGGTACAGGTCTACCGATTTACAGGAAGTTGTGACATGAATCAAACATCTGAGAACTTAGACTAATTTTTTGTTTATATATATTTTAATTGTATAGATGAATCGAATATTTTGAAACAAAAATCTATCCTAATTCATTTCATGTTTTTAGAAATAATAAAACTAAACAATCGAATTAGTGTCAGTGAGACAAATTAACGCTATTTTTTACCTGCATTAAAATCCTTGATAAAAATATTTCAGCCCCCGGAGGAGCTACGGGCGGAGTTGGAGGACGTGAAAACCTTTACATATCTGGGCTGCATCATTGATGAACATGGTGGATCTGATGCAGATGTGAAGACGGGGATCGGCAAAGTAAGAGCAGCATATTTACAACCGAAAAATATCTGGAAGTTAACTCAACAACTGTCAACCAACACCAAGATCAGAATTTTCAAAACAAATGTGAAGACAGTCCTACTGTATGGGGTGGAAACCGGGAGAACTACGAAAGCCATCATCCAGAAGATACAAGTGTTTACTAACAGAACACATTACGCCGATAAATGGAGACAGACATGAAAGGAATGAACAAAAATTGGATAGAACTAAAAGGAAGGCCCAGGACAGAGTGGGTTTTAGAATGCTGATCGGCGGCCTATGCTACATCGGAAGTCACAGGCGTAAGTAAAAATTTTGACTGTTTCATGCGCGTTTTATGGTAAATACGTAGCCTTTCAGATTGCAAAGCTCATTTGATGAATCATTCATATCACCTATATGATACTCCAATATATGCTGCCAGCTTGTCTATCACTGACGACTTTACTCTAAGTGAATCTACTTTTGCAATGGATTTTGAGAAATCATTAATATTGTATTTCAAAATCATTTTATTTAGCCCTATGAATTCCATCCAAACACAGATAACAAAATCTTTCAGAAAGAGTGAACATGAATTTTTTTAACATTAACGACCAATACTGTATCAAGCTGGTGTACATTCCGTGCTAATTTTCAGAATGGATGATTGTTATTAGTTTGAAAACTTATCAATAAATGTGGACTCATTGATTGTAGATATAAAATAACACCGAGGAAATACAGAGAGCGTGTAGAGCATGATATCACAAAAGTAATGTACGCCGGTAAAATCGATTAACATAGGAATGAGTCTGCAACCAACGCACTATTGAGGAGTCCCATAATAGGATAAAACGGCCGTCCAGTGTTTCCTAGTTTTTTATGGTTGTCTATCTTCAATTAACTCATGATTTCAACTATGAAAATACTGAAATCTCCACAAAACTTCTGAATTTTATTATAAATGGAATTGTAAATGTAATTCATTCATCAAAATAACTTTCTTATCTCATTCCAATGAATCACCAAGTTAAAGCCAATAAAAATCAATTACACATTCTGTGATGCAACACACTTAAATAAAAACAAAACAATTATGCAAAACATTTCGACAGAAGTAAATTAATTATGTTTATATTTATTTATTTTTAAAAGAGAAGCATATTTAAAAATAATAAAAGTGATATTACGAAAGGTAATTTTTTTCAAATGTACATGATCATAATGAGTAATTGGAAATCCAACCTATATATATATATATATATACGTGACACGGAGACAAATTCACAGATTACCGTAGATACACGCCAAAGCTAATAACATTTAATCTTCTGATTCTTCATGTTTGATTTGCCCCATTGTTAATGATCAGATCAGTAATCAATAATTAATGCATTTATTATTATTATTGTTGTTGTTGTTTTCAAATCGTCAATTTTTAAGTGCACAATAATCAACAAAACAAAAACAAAAAAATACAAATAAACAAAACAAAAACTCATCACATAACACGTCTAAAAATATAGAAAAAAAAAGAAGAGAAAATACTCAAACACACGCGTACACATACACACGTATGCACATGCAATCACACACATGCACACACACAGAATATTCCCCATTAAGATTGATTCATAGACACACACACGCATACATACACATCCAAGCATAAGCGCATACAAACAAACATATTAGACAATAATAAACATTATACAAAAACAAGGTGGTAGCATTATTATTATTGTGATGATGATGGTGATTACACACAGATTGAAAGAAAAAAAATAAGTCTGAGATACTCGTTAACAGACAACATTTTTGGCGGACAAATAGATAGAAATAGATAAATATAATTTTGTTTATCTCAATCAAAGAAACAACTGAACAAAGTAACTTTGAATGAACTGGAATAATTATGTATAGATAGTTTTAGAAAAAGATGTAGAACAATTCAAAGTTATCTTTGGTACCCTAATTTAAAGTGAAAAGATTTGGATCCAGTTGTATGTGTTTCAAAAAGAACTGTTGTTATTATTATCGTTGATGACTTTTGAAACTGTGTATTCAGAAAGTACAATTTCATCTTTTTTTCATCTATTTGTATCTGCAAAGAACTCTGTGCATTCTGACATGTGTGTGTGTGTGTTTGCAGCGAAAGTCATATTTTTAAGAAGTAAATAAAAACTGAGAAAGAAATTAAGTGAGTTCAAAAAAAATAAAGTTAAAACTTACTATAAGATAAGAGATAAACGCATAGGTCGATGACCGGGATTTTTCAAATATAAACATATGACTGAACGATGACTATGTTGTAGGGTAAGATGGGATGGTAAACAGATGCATAATAGTAAAGTTAAAATTGAAAATGACAATTAGACAGTATAGTAATTATCAGTATCCTAACAATAGTACTTTATGGAAACAGGGATTATAAGAGAGAGAAAGACTGATTTGTTTTCGTAGAACAATAACTTTTCACATAGCACTGTACACACACGCGTATATATATATATATAAGTTGTAATGATCTTATATAAAGAGCAACGATTCAAGGTAACAAGGAAGATATTATAACAAACTATAAAATTTATGGGTATTTATTCATTCAGGCTACTATTCTTCTCTCCATTACTGTGTAATGGTTAGGTAACCTGACAGAAATAAAAATTGGAGGAAAATTAAACTAGAAGACAATAGAATCAAATTGGCAACTTGGTCAATAGAATGATAGAGGTGTGAGTGGGGGAAAGGGACAAATAAACATACAAAGTTATATTATGCGACAACACCGACAATAACGACGTCGTCTTGCAAAAGTCAATGCAGGCGGAGTACCAGGAGCGAAATAGGCATGAATTTGAAGTTGGGGATAATGTAACTATAAAATTAGAAATAAAAAATATAAACATTTAGTTGATTCAACTTGAAATCACTTCAGTATTATAATTGAAAATGAACGCAAATGTATTAGCAACTTATCACTGACAAATTAAAGAAATAATACAGTAAATTATAATAGTGTTTACTAGCTTAATTCATCATCATTAAAATACACCTTGTCACAAATGTGTGTCGGTTAAAATCACCATACCATCATTACATTGACGACGTGGAATCAGGAAGAAAAATAACAAAATAAGTCGAAGCAATGTAGTGTAAGTGAAAATGATCAAAAACCTACAACCTAAATATGTTTTCTGCTTTCAAAGGCCATATTCACAGCCATAAAGTAATCAAAAGATGACTGATGTACAGTGTGTGGATGGTCAGAAGAATACCTCGCTTACACCACAAGTGATGTAAATTGGTAAAATGAGGAATGAACTTTCTTAATCCGTACAAATATTTCACCAGGAACCAACCAATTAGAATTTTAAGACAAGTGAAGTGGTCAACGCACTCAACTATTTTACTAACTATCACTAATTCAGGTATTAACACGGAATAGTCCCTGAAGCAACATTTTGGATTTATAGGGAGAGAAACACATCCCAAATACATTAGCATGGTTTCGCAATATCATCGACTGATCTCAGTTAGACAGCTATCGCAAACCGGGATACAATGGACAGCTATTCCCTCCTAACACAGGACTCCTTGGTAATGCGTATCAACGGACTCATTGGGAACAGAGGAACAACCTTTGGATCATCTTGTGAAATTTACTCTTTAGACCACTGTGTCGGTGTACGATGGTTTAAATTTCGAATTCCAAACAATTAGTGATATTGAGTATCTAAATACCAATGACATTGGTAATGAGTTTCCACAACGCCCAACAAGAGGGAGCTCTATTGGTCACGCCTTCTTACCAGAACTCCTGAAACTGCGTGTCGAAATGGCTACTAGTGAGCATATTATTATTACTAAACGAAACTTTTTTACGAGCTTTTTCTGATTAAAAAAAGATGTTGACGTAAGGTGATTAAAGGCAGTCGACAGGAAGGCCTGAATTCAGGTTTTTTTTGACTGGTATTTCCTACCAAGCTGTATTGTCAGACATGATAGAAATGATGTCTTCAACGTGATTTGATCCTACAATCATATTCAGAAACAATACAACTGCATTATTACAGTCGCGACTAACTCTTAGGACTGAGAGATACTTCAACAGATATAATTCCATGTTTATCCAGTCCACATTGCTTTTCCAATAACACTGATCAAGTTGCAATATGGGCAGTTTTCTAAGTGACTTGGCATCATTTATGTTTACGGGGCTACATGCTGGTCGCCTCCAAACAACTTACATCAAAAAAACTATGCAAGGAATGTTGAATCGTTTACACTAGTGGAAAATTATAATTTGGTCAAAATAATTTGATTAACATTATCATTGAATATGTAGTGAACGAAGAAGTCAAGCGGGGAAGACCGATATATTGGTTAATGCAAAATTAAAGAAAGTCTTCGTAAAATGCGGAAACTATACATTTGATACGTTATTGACACATCTCCCATCAACTGTCTCTCAAAAACTTCATCATTCCTTCATTCCTGTTGTTATTACAATTACTCTGTGTTTACATTCCTGTTCTCTTCAATTCGATTTTTCCAACCTTCTGCTGTCAGGAATTCCACTTGTGATTAGTATTACATACTATTTATATCTGTCAACATTTCGAAATGTATCTCAATGAAATACAGAATCTAGACAGAATGTTTTTAAACAATTTAATCACTTGTCAGTTTTTTCTGCTAGATTATTGACATTTCAAAATAATCACTAAGTAAACAATTTCAAACTTATTTAATTTATTGAAGAGATCACTAACAAAAAAATTTCGACTAAATTCATCTATTCAAAAATATAGATAATATTATCAACATTGTTTTGCCTTAATGACCTTAGTTCTTGATAGTTAGTTGTGTGACATCACATTTTATGCTGTCGATTAGAATTGCTTTCTTTGTGTTTTTTTGTCCAATCTTGATTTGATGTTTACTCTGTGAATCAATACATTTTTTAAATTGGTATTACGTAACTCACGACATTAGTTTTATATTTTTAAAAACTTGTTTTTTTTTGTACGTCTCATCTAGAAATAACCAATCATCTTAGCGATGTCTATAATCTTTCCAAATTGTGTAGTTTATAAAACAGAATGACTCTAGCTGGACAACCAGTGAAAATTAGGGACCGCTGGAAATTTACTTTATAGTTTGTATTGGACTCCTTGACATTGGGTATCTACGAACTTAATATCTTGTACCAAGCGTTTAACCTTTAAACCACTAAGTTAATATCCAATGATTTATATCTTTTAACAACAGTCATATTACGATGTTGCACAACCATCAGCAACTGCGTTTTATGGGAGAGGACAAACCAGCTTCCAGCTCAAGAGGAAATTAGGAAAAGATGTTGGAAGTGGATCGAACATACATAAAGGAAATCAACAATGTGCATTACAAAGCAAGCCCTAACTTGGAATCCAGAAGGGAAGAGGAAAAGAGGAAGGCCAAACAACACATTACGTCGGGAAATAGAAGTAGATATGAAAAGAATGAAAAAAAACTGGAAGGAACTGGAAAGGATTGCCCTGGACAGAGTTGAATAGAGAATGCTGGTGAGCGGCCTATGCTCCTCGACGAGGGGTAACAGGCGTAAGTCAGTAAGTAAGCAACCATCATTCATTTACATCACTGTTACTTAGATTCCACAGTCGATATGGTTGAATTACATTGGTTACAATTTTACAAAAAATTCTAAAAATTACTTCTCGAAATTAATCACTAATGAGTTCACTGGTCACTGTTAGGATTGATTTTTTCTATATATGAATAATCCACTTCTACGTCAATGTTACATTTCATTAAGATTGTAAATTAGATATAACAAACAATCCATATCTCATTAGTGATAATTAATACAATTTTTTTTTCCTCAATTTTCATTCATGCTTTGTTGTAATTTAAATCAAGATAATAATACTCTTAGCAAAGCAATTACTATTATGATTGAAAATTCACTCTTTTGTTTTACAATATTTTAAAGTAAACATTCATTAATTTGCTTAATACTATCACTTGAGAAGTTGTTATTATTAAGATATTTAGGATTTAGTACGACCCTATGAACACTTTTAAAATTAAAAACGATTGAGCTACTTCTGATATAATCAGTTATTGTGTGTAAATTGAAAAACAACAATTATTATACAATATTTAAAACATTTGGATATTAAAATGAATTCTAGAAAAACGTCATATTTTTAATAAGAACAATCACAACAAACGGGAATGGTACAATTCTGTATAAGGATGCCCCTAAATGCCCTGGTACGGACGAGAGTGGGTAGAGTCTGCTTATCCTCTCGAAATGCTCTCATACGACCATGCGTATATAACCTCTGTCAGGGAAGTCCTACTCACTGTTATCTCGTCGCTGGAGTGTTGTTTACGAAATTGAGAAGACGAAAAGCGAATGTCCACAGCTTTAACCGGGTTGGAGGACACGAAAAGTCTACCTAGGGGAGTTGGAAAACCGTGATTCCGAACCAATGGTGCACATGGGCTAACTCCAGTATCCCGAGGGAACAAATGACGTATGAATCAACCGTTGGTAACTGGATACCATAAGACTGCATCTCCTTACGATGATTCACTGCCTTGTGGATCAGATCTTTAGGTCAAAGTCTACGGGTGTGGACCCCTAAGAAAACCACCTGCTTTAGTTTGGGCACCCGGGCAGTATCACAGCCTTCACACAAATCAAATGAGATTTGTGCGGCGCATATGTATCGGATGCTTCCTTGTACCAATATTTATGTGTTTAAATAAATAAATAAATAAATAAGTTATAAAGATAAAAAAATTTGACGAAAGGGACCAGCGATTAGAAAAAGACGAAGGTAATATGGAAACCTTAGATCTATAAAAAAAACGCACTTGGAGTTATAATTTTTAGTAAGATTTTAGAATTGTTAACAAAATCTGAGTAGTCTTTTGATCCACCTTAATAGAATTAAATAAAAACTGATGCTGAACTAATAGACTGTGTATGTAGAATGTTTTGAAATTTTATCGAATAAAATGATATGAAATATGTTATACAACGGTAATTAATTTATTTGTTAGGTACATATTGATGTAGTTGGCTTCAAGCTACACTTTATGTATGACATTTGTAATAACATCTCGTTTTTTTAAGTCAAACGTGGCTGAAAATCGAATGCCATCAATAGAGTAGATTATACTTATAACTAGTAAAGAATTGGAAAAATTTTATCAAAAGGATAGGTATCATAGATAGTTAAATAAAAATAAAATGAGACGAACATTAGTGATAGTTAAATTTATAAAGTGACCATTTTTTCAATAAAGCACACTCCTCCATAAGACATGATGGAATATTAACATGATAATATAATAAATTTTCTAGATCCAGTCATTAGGTGCAATACAAATGGCTGATTAGAAACATATATTTATCGAAAATACATATGAAAACGTCCGTACTTGAACTTCAATAACGTCTGTTCAATAAATCACAAAAAGCTTTGGTAAGAACGCTATTTAACTGTCTAAGATTATAGCCAAAAAATAAAAGTGAGGTGTTTGACTGTAGTTGAACGGTTATCCGCAAAAGTCCATAAATAACAAAGCTTAAGAAACCTAGAATGAAGGAAAGATTGTATGCTATGGTTGAGAAAAAGCTTATCATAAGACTTGAACTCAAACGTGAAGTAATTGAAGAGATTAGTTTTAGATTAAAAGCTATATAGAAAAGGAGGTATCCATTCACTTAGTTAATCTGCCTCTATCGAATGAAATCCTAATTGTGATAGTCAAATACAGACAAATTCTCGCCTTATGTCACCCCAATTGCGTTTACGCATATATTTTACATATACGTGAAAGACATGTACTTCTAAAGAACAGAAGGGAGGATTAGCATTTATGTTTTTAGGCACATTTCACAGCAGCAGACATTAAAAGGACAGTATAAAATCGTTGTAAAATGGATAGGTTTGATGCAACTAGACGATTTGGACTTCGCTGGTCACTAGCTCACCTATCCCATACACACGAACGAATGCAGGTCAAGACAAACAGTGTAGCAGCAACCTCTGCATCATTAGGTCTCAATATACACAAGGGAGAAACCAAGATCCTCAAATACAACATAGAGAACACCAACCCAAAAAGAACTTGACGTAGAAACTCTGGAAAATGTGGAAAGTTTCACGTAACTGAACAGCATCATCGATGAACAAGGAGGATCTGATGCAGCTGTGAAGGCAAGGATTGACAAAGTAAGGACGCCATTTTTACAGTATGAGGACATGTGACACTCAAAACAACTGTCAACCAATATCAAATTCACAATCTTCAATAAGAAAGTCATGACAGATCTACCGTACGGAGCTGAAACTTAAATAACAACTAAACAACCATCATCAAGAAGTACAAGTATTTGTAAACAATTGTCTACGTAAGATACTCAATGTCTGTTGGTCAGATACCATCAGAAACAATCTACTGTGGGAAACAACAAACCAGCTACTGTTAGTGGGACATAGATTGGATCAAAGCATGTTCCGTGCATGATTACGTCGGTGCACGCTGATTGGATAATTCCTATCCAAACAGCGCTAGCCGGTACTTGGAGGAGATTTTAGAATCATCTCATGTAAAAACTATGAATACACTGACGTTTTCACTATTGCGCTTCTTACTTCCATCTACCATTGTTATTTGAAATATAATTTCTTCCTGTTTAACCGTGTTCTGATTTGGGGACTTGTAGAGTGAATTTGTGCCAGACAATAGGAATAGCTGGGTGTAATGAGAGAACTCATCACGGTTACCATATGAAGAGGAAATCAGAGAAAGAGGTTGGAAGTGGATAGGACACACATCGAGGAAACCATCAAAATGCATTACAAGGTAAGCATTAACCTGGAATCCTGAAGGGAAACGAAAAAGTGGAAAGCTAAAGAACAAATTGTACCGAGAATTGGAAGCAGATATGAAAAAAATATATATAGCAACTGGAAAGGATTGCCCAGGACAGAGTTGGATGGACAATGGTGGTGAGCTGCCTGTACTCCTCGATTAGAGGTGAAGGAGGTAAGTAAGTAATACAATCGTTAGTCATATGCTTGACAATATACATAATGCTAGTGTTTTAAAATATTTCAACATAATCAAATTTATCTTGGACACAAAAACTCAGATTTAATAAGATAAGTTTCGTTAGCTAGTCATAACTAACATCGGAAAGTGAATGACATATAATGAATCACTCGAAAAGCTGGCGAGATTATATTTTATGAACAAAGTTTGAACGACACTGAAGTGAGCTTGAAAAACTTTAACAACCTACTAAAGTCAAAATATAGCTAAACACTAGTGTAAGAAGTGAAGATGAAGAGTCAAAGTTGAGAGTTGGATTTGCAATTAGAGTCAGAGTTTTTATCACAAACTGATATTAGCTATTATATTGTCAAAATGCTATCAATCCGTATGAATAAATGAATTTCATGCATAAATTGTAGCTCAGATGTGAAAAGTTTTGTTCAAGTCAACTCAATATCCAGTATTATATGCTAAGCATTTTATTAAAACGCCATTGAATTTGTTGTACAAAACTAGATTAAATTTGACATTACCTTTGTTTAAAACATTTGTATTTACTTGATTATTTATTATAGTGAAGAATTTTGTTTCAAAACTAATGGAATAAATATTGAGATATACTTTTTCATAGTTAAAATCATGAGTCAATTGAAGCTAGACCACCAGGGAAAACCTGGAAGCACTGGACGGCCGTTTGGTTCTATTATGGGACTCCTCAACAGTGCGCATTCACAATCCCGCACTCGTGAGATTCGAACCCAGGATCAACCAGTATCGCGCCAGAGCACTAAACCGATAGACATTAACACCGTTGGATGCCGGCCGGCTCAGTGGTCTATCGGTTAAGTGCTCTGGCGCGAGACTGGTAGGTCCTGGGTTCGAATCTCGCGAGTGCGGGATCGTGGATGCGCACTGTTGAAAAGTCCCATAGAAGGACAAAACGACCGTCCATTGCTTCGAGGTTTTCCATGGTGGTCTAGCTTTAACTGACTCATGGTTTTAACTATGAAAACACTGAAATCTCCACAAAACCCCTTTTGGTTGAAATATACTTTACCAGAAACTTTGGTTTGTATATTCTAATAATTAATTATTGGTAATAATAATAATGATATTATTAATAATTTGATTATTTTCTAAACGAATACTATCAAAAAATGTTCTAAAATGCAATGATTCCATGAATCATTTAAAATATGGATGTTCATCGTAATCAACTCTACTGTCAAATGTTCAACACAGAAATTAAAGCAAGCTTTCCAAAAAAGCAACCAATTATATATCGAAATATCTTGGTCCAAATCAAAGACAAAATATCATATCAACTTAAAAAACAAAGTTTATAGATTAGGTTGTTTATCAAATATTTGATAAATTTTGTAATAGAGTACTTTCTGTGAAATCTTAATTTGTGCCGAAGAGAACACATGAGATACAGAAAGAATTTGTTATTCCTGTAGAAGCAGTTTCTGTAGAACTTGGAAATGTAGAAGTCAAATTACCAAGATTAACGCATGACACATAATTGATAGTCATTTAGTCAGTATTAAAATGTCTTCTATAATTTCTTCACAAAAAAAACATGCCTTTTACAACTAAAATAGCATCGTCAAATGTTGATCAATATTGCTCTGAGCAATAGGAAAAAGGATTCAATCGACAATTTAACCAGATTAGACAATAAATCTAGACCCATATTTGACCTGTTTCAGATAAGACACCACCTATATCACACCTATCTATCTACCTAACTATCAACATACGAAAGCATGTTCAATACAGAATCACCTTTGACCTGAATAACAGCATAAGAGTAGCATATGATTGGACTTGTTTTAATTTAAATTAAGTATTTAATCTGATTAATTCCTTGTATAACACTGAAATATGTAATAATATAAAAAATCTAGTTATTTTTTGAAGAACCAACTTTATTGACAAACCGAAAAATATCGGAAAAATCGATGCACTGTGATATTAATTATAAAATACCTAATTCTAATTACCATGAAAAGTAATTCGTATACAGGGATTTAAAGAGATGGTAGAATCGTCTATAATTTAAATAACGAACTGAACCATCACTGAAAAGTGGAGGCACTAAATAGTCAATTTGTCCTAGTATATGACTCCTCAGTAGTTCCCATACACTACCTCGAAGGGGATCGAATCCAAGAATTTCAGTCTCAGGTCCGAACACAACCTATAGATCGTTGATTTGTCATTTAGTGGTGTACATGCCTGATTTCAATCAATTTTTATATTACGTACTTATCTGACATTGTCTGAAGCGAACGACTGTCTTACACTTAACACAGTTGAACTGTACTGGTCGCAGATTTTCACCAGAACTCCAGGAGTTGAAGCTTGGAGCTATTCACTAGTTGGATACATTATTATCAGTATGAGGGGAATTGTGGAGACTGTAGGATCTTCCAAGTTCTAATCACAAACTGATCTAGAGGCTAAGCGGTCAGGGGCAAGACTGAATGCCCTGGGTTTGATCCCGGGGCGTGTAGTCGTGGATATGCACTTTCAAAGAGTCTCATACCAGGACTAAATACCCGTATAATGTCTCCGAGTTTTCAATGGTGGTTTAGCTAAGATCATTATATGGTTTAAACTATGAAAATAATATAATTTACATTAAAATTACACAAATAAATTTATTCAAACATAAAAAAGCATGAAGTCTGAAGCGTGATTGCATAACTGTTTATTGTTTTACCTCTAAACTGTTGATTCCTTGTTTCGTTATCAATTGACAATCGTATAAATCCAACTGTCGAAGTTTACGACAATTACTGCCTAGATGCTCTAAGGCAGCATCTGTTAGTAATGGACAGTTATCCATAGCTAATGTTTGCAATTGATCAGGACCGCAAAGACCTTCAGCTAAACGTGCAATACCTTCATCAGTCACTTGATCACAGTGTGATAATACCAGTGTGTTTAAACGTGGACAATGTACAGCTAACTGAGCTAAAGTTGAATCAGTCACTAATGCACAATCTTCTAGATCCAATTTTTCAAGCTGTTCAAAACAAAAGATAACAACAAACAACTAATATCAGTATTAATATTAGTAGTAACGATGGTGCGTAAGAAATCATAGTTGACTAAATATTTTAGAATGAAAAAAAAATCTCTGTATCTCTTTAACATAATTACTTTTGCATTAGTAGTACTTGCAAATAAAACCACAGTATATATATATATATATATATATATATATATATATATATATATATATATTAAATAGTCAACTGTAGAACATCTGTATTATCCTGTACGTGTCTGACTTTAAGTGTACTTGGACTTCATCCTCTCAGAAGGTAGACGAAGCGTATACCAACCACTGAGATATTTTTCATGATAAGTTGTAAGTTTTTTTCGTAGAAGCGTGTAAGCAAATAATTGTTTAACAGAAAATATTCGTAAGTTAGAACAAATTAGGAATTTAAACAAAGTTATTGCAATATTTTTTTGCATAAATCGATTCATTTGTCTCACTGTGACTGGTTGTTGAGCTTTGTCTACTATTATTCTTTGAAATTTTTCAAGTATCTCGGCGGAAGTTGAGAGTTTTTAAAAACATAGTAATTAAACTGTACAGCAATGATGTAACAACATTTACTACTTTAATTCAGTCAGTTATCTACAACGTAGGACCAGGCACATATATGCATCGATCCAAGTTGCCATAATCTCATTAGCACAACAAGATGAACACCAAATTCATGGAAGCAGTTACTTCAATGGAAGTGAAGAAAGATTTTATATAAGGATATGATACAGGGGGAAAGAATTAGTTCATAGGAAAAAAGGTTTAGAATAATTTCAAACTGAAGGTTTAAGGGAAGATAAAAAGTGTATACACCGATGCCGTTTTGATCGATTCTGAGCTATGTTACACAGAGTCTCCAACCATTGGTTAAGATAGTCACGCAGACTTCAACCAAGTAGTCTGCACCTACCAGTATGGCTCAAACCAGAAGTTAGTGACTTTATGGACTGATGCCAAGTTTTGGTTTGGCCGCCCCTAACTTTCTTTGATCAGTAAAGAAATTTAATTGTCACTTAAGGAAGTATATTCGAGCATAAAGTTTGGAAGGAGGATAAATTAAGTAATTTTTTGTCAATATTCTCAAACTCACTTAAAATCATCTTTTCAAATGTGATCAAGGTAACCTTAATATCAGATTAAACTACATACACAAATCAAATGAATTAAAACCAGAAAAAAATGGGAGAATTTGTATTTGTATGGTAGTGAATGGATCGCCTGACAACGTGATGGGTATGTAGGTATGGAAGCATATAAGCTTTGTGAAATAAGAATACTGAAATTAGATATTATATATAGAATAATGTGATGGTGGTATTAAGATATCAAAGTATAGTAGTAAATATACGAATCCGCCACCCGGAAATACCGAAACTATATTTCAGTTATGAGGACTGGTCAGCTACAATGTAGGACTTGTGAAATTTTATCGGCTAAAACTGAATTGCAGTTTTACTAAGGTAAGTAGTGGGGAACACAAAAACTGTCTCGGTTAAAATGCAAGCCTTATAGACCACGAAGAGATCATCTTATTTATTAGATTTTGTACAGACTTTCATGGAATCACAGTCAGAACCTGTGATTACTTAATGTTTGAAAGTCGAATGCTTGACTTAATTAGGAATATAACTTTCAAACCGAAATACAAGCAGAGGAGGCAAGTGTAAACAGTATATACAAACCCCATTAAACCGAGCTGCTGCGTTTGAAGAGATTATGAGATCACATAAATCGACGAACGGAACGAAGATTCAGAGACACAATGACAAGACAGCTAAGTTATTCCAATGAGTTTCAGCCCCGCTAACTAGAAGAAGTCCAGGTTCAGATGAGGGAAAGTGTATTATACAAGCAGCCATAAGCACAACTCAAGCGTATATATACAGCACAAAAATGTCCTTGGGAAACATCATAAAACAGTATATTAAAAGAGACAACGAACCAATAACATTTAGGGTCCTTCTAAGTGAGAAATACAATTTGAAGGTAAAAATGAGAAATTTTGGAGCGAAAACAAGAAACTCATATTTCCAAAATAAAATTACAAAAGACGTTTACCAAGTAAGTTCTGGGGATCTAGCATCCCCAACACGAGCACAGGAAATCTCAGTGATGAAAATTAACACAAAACTTTGTCACTACATAGAAGTGATCGGGAATACAAAAAAATATTAATATAACTAATTGTATCATAATTCAATTATATACTTCAAATTTAACATCTTTTATTTTTGAAGTTTTAAATCCATAAAATTTCTAAGGATTAAAATCAAAATCTTTAGATTTTCCAAAGAGTAATGTATAGTCTTTAAATTGACTAATTTGATCCAAATGATTGAAATTATTTGAAAAGCAACCCAGTATTGTGAAATACTCACAATATCTACATAAACACCACTACCATTGCACAAAATCCTGTTTCAAACGAATATATACATAATTTAATTAATAATTGTTACGTCCCTGATCTGTCTACCCACTTTCATGCCCAGGATAACTTGTCTAATATAGATTAAGACCTTGACGCGATAAGCTGACTGACTTAACCTTTACGCTAGTATGCGTGAGTTCGAAGTGGGGTAGAGAGACGAAACTATTCTATAACCTGGTTGGCTGACAAGCACGAGAGAGAGAGAAGACAAGACAACTGGAACACTACTCGATTTCTTCCAAAATACGATCTGGTATCCGAATTCAGATTAGTGTAAAAAGACACATGAATAAATATATGACTAACCCGACCACAACGTACAATAATTAGGAAAATACAATTATGTCCAAAACTTGAGGATTAGAGTAGAAAATAGAGTACAAAAGGTCACGTCTAAATTACAATAGATTTGGAACAGAAAAGTTTACGACAATGAATGATACATCAAACGAAAGCTTATGATGTGTAGAATAGACTAGGGACAAAAGTAAATGTTACTGTTATACAAGCTTTGAATTAAATGAAATAATGTCCCCCAAAAAATAGCTTCCATATTTTGTTAAGGCTTCTTTCTTGTTTCTCTGTTCACAATAATAATATATATGCAAATTTATTCCAGATAAAACTTAGTATTCTTAATGATACATTTATTAATATGTTCTATTACACAAATATTAAATTTGTAAATTAAGGTAGATAAATTATTTTACTTTTAATCAATGAACTGCATATATATGTTCAAAACATATTGTACCTATTCTAATTTCGACAACAGGATAATACAGTATTAAATCTCTAAGCGGGAAATATGTAATTCAAAGCTGAACACATGAATCTTTACTTCTTTTCAATATAAAAACAACCTAATAATAATAATAGTACATTTTAAATACAAATTACGTTTATCATATGTGAATGAATGTAACAGGATAAAAAGATGGTGTGAAACAGATAACACCAAAAAACAACTTATAAATTTGATTGGAATTAAACTTTTATATATTACCACTATTAAATTAACTACTTCTATTAATTTGGTGTTCATCTTGTTGAGCTAATGAGGTTATAGAAACTTGGACCGATGCATATATGTGCCTGGTCCTACGTTGTAGCTGACTGACTGACGTAGTTCTAATCCATTGTCTACTTTGACAGGTGAAATGAACTGGTGTAGGAATAGTTTAAAAGAAGACTAGAGATGTTCAAATCAAAATGTGATACAGGTTTATGAAATCATTAACTGATGAAATAAACCAATTTAGTAAGTGCTAACCAAATGATTGGAAATGTTGGACTAAAAATGACTCAGAATCGATAACAATGGCTCATATGTACTCACTTTTTTCTATCTTACTCAAAATCTTGGTTCCTAGTATCTCTTTATATACATCTTTTCACTCCACCTTCTCAATATTTAGTCTCTTCCAATAATATTGTTACTGCACTATTTTAACTTCTTTGCTATTCATCCCAATTTTTATCTTGTTGGCCCTATGTATTATGACAACTTGAACTAGATACATTTATGCCAGACTCTATGATGATTAAGACTGATTAACAATTATAAATGATACATTAAAGAAAACTTACTTTATTGCAAACACGTGCGATAGCTGATAGGCCAATATCTGTGATAGCTGAACAACGAGCCACTTCTAAAGTTGTTAAGCTAACACATCCAACTGGATTCAATGTTGTCTTATTAGAATCATTAGTTTTTTGACGTCGATTATTATTTACGGTTGAATTTCGATCTCCATGATTATCATTATTGTTTGGTGATGAAGCATCTTGATGATTAACACTTCCATTGCTTGTTACTACTGGAAGAATTAAAGGGATCCCATTTTGCTGACTGGTAGATGTAGCTTGTCCAACGATAGCTGCCGCTGCAGCTGGCGATAATGTGCCAGCGATTGCACGAAGACCTTGATCAGTTATTGGACAATGTGATATAGCTAGTACACGTAGATCAGGACAGCCAATAGAAAGATGAACCATAGCTTCATCTGTGACACCCTACATAAATTTGAAATAAAAAGGTATAAATGGCATTACAGGTCTACAGTTAATGTAATGTATACTTATCTTTGAAATATGATATTCTTAAGAGAGTAAGACCAAAACAGATTGATTAGAGTTCAGTCCTGAATACCAACTACGAAATAACTCAAGCTCTTTTTAATAATGGCATAAACATCGTACCCTTTAGATTAGTGTCTATTTAGACTTATCAGATCGGTGAATATGTTAGCTTTTGAAGTGAAAGGTACTAGATTCGAGATACAATGCAGGACAACTAACTGACGAGTCCCAAGGAGGACAAAAGCCGCACTTTAGACTCCACTGGTAGTTACAATCGATTTATATTACGAAACTTAAGATAAAACTTGTTTTGGATTTCGAGATGTTCTCGAATTCAAAAGAATACACAAAGCAGAGTCTGTACTATTGTGGTGTGTCCTTCTTATTTAGACAGATATTAGTATGTAGCAGGAATAGGATATGAAGTGTTGAACAGTGGAAGATTGAAACGAAGAGAACAGAAAGGAAAACGGAGAGCGATCTGAATAACAACCAGATTGGATGATGGAGTATGTAAAGGACAATTGAAGGAAAATGTGCAAAGGACGTATGTATGATTTACATATTTTACAAAGGCACTGTGTGATTTCGCTTACAAAAACAAGTTAGTTTTTCTCACCTAGTCTTTTTTCACTACACTATGAAAGCACCATTAATTTTGTGCTACAGAAGCATTTTCCCCACAAATGAAAAGATGAGCACGGAAGATTGGAATTATATTTTAAAGCAGAGACTGTAAAATACTGAAAGAAATAGACTATATACCAATTTTTATGAGTTACTGACTACTACTGCTTAAAGACTGGTCCTTATTAACCTCTGATCTAGTAATAGGCATGAAGAGTTGATTGTATTGACAATGCCACATATTTTAGAAGTCCCATCATCTCTAGTTGGTTGATTGGCTTTGTGAACTTGCGTCAATCGTGCAGTAGGTGAGATATCCATCTGCTAACTAAACGACGATTATATTGAGCACCAGTTTGTCCCCTTCTACTTTATGGTTGTGAAATGTCACCTCTCAAAGTAAAGAACGTTTGTAGCTTACTAGAATTCCATCATACAAGCACTTCTTGTACATTCACGGACCATCAAATCAACAATTCCGAGGTTAACACGTAGGGTACTACGTAAGTATCGTGAGTCAATTGACGAGGTACTGAATCGTGATCGATTGAGATGGTTAGGACGTGTATTACTTATGCCCGAACACCACCTACCTTGACGCACGAAGATGAATGGTATAATAGATTGGAAGGAAGATAGGAAAGGCTAAACAAAACGTAGCATCAGTCCACTTAAGCATTGACTGTTGGACTGAGCTATGTAAGTAGGTGCAGGTTACCTGGTCGGGGTCCGAAAAACTATTGTGACCAATGGTTAAGCTTTAAGTGATATGGCTCAAAATTGTTCGCGCAGGTGCACTCACTTTTCGTTCTGCCTTACGTCCTAAGTTTCCAGGTTCCTAACAATTATTTTCTTATTTTTATTTCATTGGTCCTTTTTATCGAATCGTATTTTCAGTGTTTAGTCTTTTCTACCACCACCAGTATTGTTATTATTTCTGCTACTCTGAGACTTTCTTTAACAATTCCATCTCGCTGTGGTGATAGCGTACGGGAACTTAAATCGATTCACACATATACCACATTCTACATTGCGTGTGACTGATTATTATAAAGCATTTTTAATGTTACTAGTACCAATAAAATAATCGAATCAAATGCTCTGAAGAACCCTAAAATACAACTTTTATTTTGAACAGTACAATAATATGAATACTAAACCAAAGAAAAAAGCATAGTGGTTATAATCAAGCACAGAGAATCATAACAAAGAATCTTTCAAAACTTGTCTACGTTCATTACAAAGACGGAAAAACAAGATATAACATTTTTGCTTCAATTCTGAAAAATATCTGAGAAACGTTCTAGATACAATTGAGTGTCTTTTCTAATCTCATCACATTTTTCCTCCTCAGGTCTTAAAATATGAGTATACTTAAAGATGACTTACATTGACCATACTATAGAGTTTGAATATTACATTTAACTCTATCATTTAGGAAATTCTGGTGACATTGTTTTCTATTGGAGGAAGTATAGAACAGGCGTATCTGTCAAAACAAACAAGTGTGAATGTTTATTATATGTTGAGGCTCGATATTTTGATGAGGACTATTCATCATGAATTTTTTTGTGGAATTCCAAGTGAAAATCAAATGTTTATGATGGAATTAGCCCCTGCTTACTTCCAGATATTAATAGTGAACTAATCTGATTTAGAGAGTATGAACAGGTAACTGATTGTGCTCACCAGTTGCCAAAGATGGATGACACGGCTTTAAATAGAATAAAATGATGGAAATGAGTTCATGCTCTATCGTATATCTAACTTTCACCTGTTTTGTAGTTTTGACATTTGTCCTTCCAGATTATTTTATAATTTTTATTTCCATGAACATATCTGATATAATTCTCGTTTGCTTAAAAATAAGAAAAAAAATTTCTGAATATTTTGCTATTGTACTCAACAACCTATTTTGAAGAAATAATTAGGTGTTATCTATTATTACCACATTGTTCACTATTATAATCCTTAGAATATAACACCTATTAGTTACGAAATGTATACCCATTGTTTCAGTCCTGTTAGTTTTCAGGTGGTCAGCAATTCAAATACTACTCTTCTTGATGGAGTGTGAACAAACAAGTAGTAAATAAAACAGGACCTTTTCCATGATTAATATGTGTGGCTTAGTCAAATAATTAGGATTTGCGCCACTAAGGCATAGACTTCAAACCCGCACCACCTAGTTGGGTTTACGTGGTCAAGTAGTATTACTAGCCATAATACGACAAAATAGTGGTTAAGAGAAGAGTGCATAAACTTGTACATGATAAATAAGTTAATTTTTCATATTTACTACTATAACTATAATTTGAATGTACACTTAAGTGGTGTATTTTTGCATATACACACAAGGATTACACTGAAAACGTTTTTACCATTAATTAAGGAGAATTAGATATTTGTGACATTTACGGCTTAAATACTTTTAACCTTTCTATTGCGTTGATTTTCTGCTGTCAACTGAGAAAGCTTAGAGTGACCTTCTATATTTGGAGACCCTATTTTGTTTTGTTCACTAGTTAAATGGGTGATTCTAAGTATTAAGAAACTGAATTCTCAAAGTTAATAATCAGACGAATAACGATCTAACAGGTAATACATTTAATCATTACAGAATAGCCATCCTGATTTCTTAAAATTCTATGTTTATACTTTTATGAGAGCAATTTTTTAGATTATTTACATTTCTAAAGAGCAAATACAAATCTGATTACTAAATCGGTATTCATGAATAAATACCTGTTTCTAATCAACCAATGTAACAAATGTTATATTAATTCAATTAGATTAAAAGTTAGAGTAATTGGGTGAGAGCCAATGATACTACTTGTTTGTGCAAATTTTATTACGAATAGTAGAGCTCCAACAGTTGACCTACAAACTGAGAGAAACTACTAAGAGATAATTAGTTTTTTTTCAAAGTTGAAATCATGAGTCAATTGAAGCTAGACCACCAGGGAAAACCTGGAGGCGCTGGACGGCCATTTCGTCCTATTATGGGACTCCTCAGCAGCGCGCATCCACGATCTATCGGTTAAGGGCTCTGGCTCGAGACTGTTAGGTTCTGGGTTCGAATCTCGCGAGTGCGGGATCGTGGATGCGCACTGCTGATGAGTCCCATAATAGGACGAAATGGCCGTCCAATGCATCCAGGTTTTTCATGGTGGTCTAGCTTCAATTGACTCATGATTTCAACTTTGAAAAATACTGAAATCTCCACAAAACCCCTCCTGAAGATAATTAGTTCTAAATATTGCATTAGTGATCAGTGGGGTGGCTTAATAAATACATTCTAACCATTATACAGACTAAAATATACATACCTGTCCACAGTAATTCAAGTTCAACAGTAATAAACCATGGCAGTGACGTGCTAATTGTTCTACACCACGACTTGTTATCTCTTGACAACCTATAGCACGAAATCTTTGCAAACTTTTACATCCTCTGGCGATAGCAGTTAGTCCACGATCTCCAACACTACACCATGACACATCCAAACATGTTAGATTTGAACACGAGCTAGTATGTGAAAAACCAAGATTTAAGCAAATAGAACGGAATCCCAACAAATTTCGGATACAATTTATTTTGAAATGAAATGTATCAGGTTAAACCATACATTTTTAGGTTATTCAAATGTATCAAGGTGTGGGAGTCTAGATTCTAGTTCAAGTAAAACCCAATTGTTTCAATAACTTCAGAAAATCTGGATACCCACAGTCAATAAAACAAAAAAGCCTAGATTACTTGGATGATTCAGAGAAACAGCCCTTGACTTTAGTTTGAAATTGGAATTCATTGGCAGAAACAAACAAAAAAACTTATTTATTATTTTATTTTATTTTATTTAAACACATAAATATTGGTACAATGAAGCACCAGATAAATATGCGCCTCACAAATCTCATTCGATTTGTGTGAGGGCTGTGATACTGTACAGGTGCCCAGACTGAAGCAGGTGGTTTTCTTAGGGGGCCACACCCGGAGCCCTTGACCTGAATGTCTGATCCACAAGGCAGTGGAGCATCGTGAGGAGATGCAGTCCCATGGTAGCCGTTGACCAATGACAGGTTCGTCCGCCATTCGTTCCATCAGGATACTGGAGCCCATGTGCACCATTGGTTTGGAATCAGGGTTTTCCAACTCCCCTAGTTGGACCCTCCGTGTCCACCAACCCGGTTAAAGCGCCGGACATTCGCTTTTCGTCCTCTCACTTTCGTAAACAACACCCCCGCCACGAGAAGGCAGTGAGTAGGACTTTCCTGGCAGAGGCTATATATTCGCTGGCCATATGAGAGTATTTCGAGAGGGAGAGGTGACTCTCCCCACTCTCGGCCGTACCAGGGCATTTGGGGGTAAACATAAAAACTATTATAACATGGAGGATACTAGTGTTTTACAACTAATTGGTAAAAACCTGAAATTGGGTATCTGTATGGTAGGTTGTGTTGGTGGCTTGAAGAAAATTAAACACTATTAAGAATGCGACATACCCAAATGAAAGATGACACAGAAACATCTACATATAAAAATCAGAGAAGTACCAAACCTAGAAAGATATAATATAGTTAATGAAGCTGTAATTACTTACAGTTACTGCTTTAATGATTTTATAGTGGACCTATTCTAGGATTAAATAACGTAACAGATGAATTTATTACAGTTTACCAATAATTAGCAACCAGTACCACTACAGTCTTAACGAAATTACATATAGGATAACAACAGTAAATGGAATTTATAGTCAGATAAGCAAATAGAAAACAACGTACAGGTATATGTTAGTCCATGGTGACATATTCTGTAATAATATAGTGAAAATACTACAATGATCAAGAGAGTAAATATTATGAGATAAGCAAGATTTTCAATACTTCAAGGACCATTGTGTAGGCGAATTGCCACAACTGTGATCAGAACTAAGCCACACCGTACGCAATCATTTTCCAACTTAGCATCAAATATTATTGATAGGCGATGTTTCAGTATATTTAACCTTTACAGTTAACTGGGACCAGATTTAAATGTTGTGCAAAACCGAAAACATTAGTTCAGTGTGACTAGGTAATAAATATATTTTCCTTCCTTACGATAAATTGAATACCTAGTAACCTAAGTCAACTACCGATGAATATATTGATAGCTTTTGAAACTACCTCATCCACCAATGAACTGGTTTAAGAAAAAACGTTTACCTGACACAACAAATGATTAATCGACTTCGTTACTATGAAGGTTGGTGTACTAGGATGTAAACTGTATCTATAAGCAGTAGGAATGGTTATCCGAGTGAACAAAGGCAAATAGGAGTTTCGGATATTTGACCATACGCTTAGTAAAATAAAAGAGAAGTGATAGGATAATCACCATGGTTAGGATAATTTATAAACTATATGGAGAAACAATGAGTGCATGACGGAAAAATATTTACTGAATAGTGAGGAAATTTTTAACATACCTTAGCATTTCTAATCCAGCATCATCTATACGAGAGCAACTTTCCAGGGACAAAGTCGTCAGAAGAGAACAATTTTTTCCCAAATAACTGCAAGTTCCATTCGTCAAGTTTTGACATCCTGACAAGTCCAAACTTTCAATCATATGACAAAGTTCAGTAAAACATCTATAACAGGAAGACAAGAAGGTTAGTCACTAGATGGCGCTAGTTAAAAAAAGTCCCTAGGAACATGGAGCATCTTGGTTTGTTTTTGACATCCTCAATAAAGGTGTTTGCAAACTTTCAATCAAACAGGATAAACAAAACCAGTCATCCGTCGGACGATAAATAGCCACAAGAATAATTGATTCAATGGTGAATTAACACTATTGTCTAGTAGGAAATTCTGTAGCAGAATTTAAAATACTAGGTGAGGACAATGGTTAAATAATCAACTGTCCGCTTATAAACTTCACGAGCTGACTAAAAATTGGATGTAAAAATACTCCATTTCCAAAAAGGATGTGGTGAAGAATGTCGGGACAAATATATGGCATACAATAGCTCCTTCACTTTATGAATAAGCAGTCGGTTTTCAGTATAATTGCCATAGTTTATTCAAAACTACTCCATTTTGACCAGATTTTTGGGGAAAAGGTTGTCCGACATATTATGTTTGCAAACGCTGGCAAGACTAATCTATGAACACTACTCGAAAACAAAATATGCTGAATATAATACTTAAAGGGTTGATGGATATAACATATTCTAAGTTAATGCTGACCCTTCAAATAACCGAATTAGAATGGTCAAACTTCAAACAAGTCGTAAATAGAACGATCAAAAAAACGGACTTGTTGCTAAAAGTTCCTAAAACCTCTATCTGTTATTCAAATACAGGACAACAGCTAACCACTTAAACGATGTGAATAAAGTATCAATAAACTAGTTCTCTCTAAAAGAATAACGTTGAAGTTTTTATAATGTGCACAGACAATCATTCAGTTGGTAGCATACTTTAGAAAAATGTATAAAAAACCAATACCAACATAGAAAGTCAACACATAAGCAGTACAATTCGTGGGTAAAGATAAAATATCAATCGAAGAACTCACTTTAGAGCCTCATCGGTAACATTTCGACAACCTTTCAGCCTCAACTCACGAAGAAAACCGCGACTTCTCTGGGCGATTTTTTCAACTACTTTGGGCTATTTATGTTGAGTTATTTGGACGATACAAATTACCTGCACATATCGCTGAAAGTCAAATAAATTAATACTCTTCCAGTTGCTCCCATCGAAAGCACATTCATACCAAAACTATCGGACGATTTATGAAAAAAAGGCAGCTTACTTTACAAACTTGAGAGCATTTGCATAGAGTAGTGATATCTAAGTAAGAAAAAACCCTGGATTCAGATTTAGAAAACTGACAATTCTACTCACCTGATGATTAACTCTTTCGGCAGACTATCGTTGATACACACGTCGCTTCTGTGGTATGAATTAGTCTGGAGTACAGTGATATGTATATGAATGAACTTGCCTTCCCATTAGCCACGGCCGAACCATTAGTATTAAAATAATTAGAAAAGTTTTCCATTTTAGATAACTTGAATATCTACAAAACCACACAACGCGGGGACCCCATTACGAAGCTTTATTGGAAGGTCTTTAGAGGACAGAAAACTGCATATTAGTCAGATTACTATTGGTCCCGAAAACAAATGAAGTATCATCCTTCAAACCGATCAGCTGACTAAATGCTTTGAAATCCAAACAAAGAGTACGGTAAAACACATGATGTTCAATGACCCTTAATGTTGTCTTTTCTGCTTGACCTAGATCTAGTGGATTTCGCCTGTTTCAGAAACCACCATATTGTATCTCCTCACTTATGTAGGTATCTGAGAGGCCCTCCTGGTTTCACACGCTATCAGGAAGTTTCAAGTGCCTAATATCTGGAGAGGTATTATTCCGGCAATCAGGGACTATGCTATCTCAATTGACTGGTCGGTCGATGCTGATGGATCGATTGATGATGCATGGAATAGGTTTAAGTCTACGTTCGAATCCGTAACTCAACCGTTAATCCCATGGTCAGCACGTAAGTTATCATATTGCCCTCCATGGATTAATAAGGAAACCCAGAAGCTGTTGAAGCGTAGGAAACACTTCTGGGACTTATTCTTGTCAACAGGTCAGGCATCATTTAAGTGCGAATATAAAAAAATCCAGAATATATGTAAAAAGACCATAGCTAAATCCCGCACGGCCTACAAACGACAGTTGGCATACGATAGCCGTACCTGTCAGAAAAGCGACTGTTTTCGTACGTTAAAAGGCGGACGAAACGTAGTGATGGTATCCCCTCATTACTGTTAAGCGAAAATTCAGCTTTATTGGCTGAATCTGATCTAGCGAAAGCGGAGACATTTGCTAACTATTTCAGTGAAATCTACTATACGTCTAGTGTTACAACTACTTGTCCCGTTGACAATGAGATACCAGCCATAGGACCTTTACACGTGACAGAGGATATTGTTCTTCCTTTGATAACTAACCTAAAACCTTGTAAGATACCGGGCCCCGATGGGTTACACCCACGTTTGCTGTCGTCGCTTGCGGACATTATCTCAAGACCGCTCACGATGCTCTTCAACATGTCCCTTTCACAGGCTCAACTACATAGAGACTGGAAAGATGCCGTAGTTAGTCCTATATTTAAGGATCTTCAGAGACGGATCGTGTCTAACTACCGGCCTGTTAGCCTGACCAGTACAGTAGTTAAGTTACTTGAAAAATTAATTCGGGCTAAGCTACTGAGCCACATAGATTCGTACAATCTGTTAACTCCCGGGCTTCATGGGTTTCGTAACAAGCATTCATGCTTGACTAACTTACTCATTGCGAGAGAGGATTGGACAGCTGCCATAGATAACGGCCAGTCTGTCGACGTGATGTTCGTAGATTTTAGCAAAGCGTTTGATAAGGTTTCACACTTAGGTTTTATGCAAAAGCTCTCGAGCTTTGGAATAACAGGTGCTATACAGGAATGAATAGGAAGCTTCTTATGTGACCGCAGACAGAGAGTAAGGGTCAATGGAACGCTATCCGAATGGAAACCGGTCAAAAGTGGTGTGCCCCAAGGCACCATCTTAGGCCCTCAACTTTTACTTCTGTATATTAATGAACTACCTTTATTACTAAAGTCGTCGACGTTATTGTTTGCAGATGATGCTAAAATCTGGAGAACAATAAGAAATGAGACTGGTCGTTGTTATCTGCAAGCAGATTTAGACAAATTAGTTAGGTGGGCTCGTGATTGGGGCCTGGAAGTTAATTCCAGGAAGAGCGTGTTCATGCACATCGGGCACGATATTAGTTACCATTATACCATTAATGGTACATCTCTGCCACGCGTTCATGAGCACAAAGACTTAAGATTATTAATAAGTCACGACTTAAAAACTACTACGCACTGCAATGCGGTTGCTTCCAAAGGCTATAGCGCGCTATGGTTGCTTCGCAGAGCATTTAAATGCTTTGACGAGATGTTTCGAATTTTATATTCCACCTATGCAAGGCCACACTTAGAATACTGTATCCAAGCAGCTAGCCCTTGTCTGATAAAGGATACTAAATCGCTTGAGCGTGTCCAGCGTGTAGGGACAAAATTAGTAAAGGGTCTTTCTAAACTCCCTTACGATGAGCGTTTAAAACGTCTAAACCTTTTCCCCTTATCTTATCGTAGGACGCGAGGTCACCCTATACTGGCATTTCGTATCTTTAATTATGATCTGGGTGTTAATATGTCTTATCTTTTTGCTCCCTCCAGCACTAATAATCTCCGAGGTCATAGCAAGAAGGTTCTGAAACAGCGATCTAATAAACTAAAGGTGGGGTCCCGTTTTTCTCATCGAGTGGTCAATGATTGGAACGCTTTACCAGAACAAGTGGTATCAGCACCATCAGTGAACGTTTTCAAAAAGAAGCTGGACCTTCACTGGAAGGAAATCTGTCAGGATTAACACAAGTTCATCAACCTACTATCCTTATTACTGAAGACTGAAGACTGAAGACTACATTAATTAATGTGGCTGTTAGAAGGGACATCAGTTTCGTAACTTCCGAAGAATCTCGGCGTCCATCATAAGTCCTCTGAATGGAGAACCTTCAGATCGAGAGGCAGAGTCTAAATGGTTTAGATTGTTTTTTTCTGGCTGGAGTTTTTAGCAAGGTTGTCTTCTACGGGACGGGGTTGCTGATACCATCCCCAAACCTTCTTCTGCATCCTGACCTCGAACCGCCAGCAACCCTAGAAAGGGTAGAGGCAGAGTTCGATGAGTGATATTAGAGTTAACTTAGACTACGATTTCCCTTAGCAAAATCAACCACTTATTCATATCATTTTGTATCATGGTTCAGAATTATATAGGGGTAATTATGTTAATTGTAATACTAGTTCTAGTTTGATTGTAGATGAGATGGAAGACAACTTAGATGGGAAGTTGAAGCCCGAAATACTGTGAATGAATGAAAAAAGCAAAGTTCATTCGGGGTGGTCATGACGTAGAACTAGATAGTGGTAAAAATTCTTATCGAATATGTTTTTATGACCGATCAAAGAGAAACTTGCATGATTCCGGAAATCATCTAGGAGTTAGGGTTAACGGTGCTTGTCAACATAAAAGCCACTATGAGTGGTTGGTGGCGATAGTTGTAGATCTAGAACTTCCTAAGGGTGTTAGAGCAGCGGTTACGTGAAAAAACACCCATTCGCCACAAAAACATTGCTAGAATGGACTGTGTTTCGGACTTACGTCATATTCGGAATTCAGAAGGATAGTTATCAACCATGCCTGCAAAGTACAGACGTCAGAAGACAATCTACGCAAGCTTTACGATATGAAATTTTCTGATGTATATTCAAATGATAAGTCACTGTCGGTAGGCGATACATAGACCATAGAGATCATAGGGAAGGGAACGCACTTCAACGGTCATTTTGCTGTTCCCATGCCTTTGAGAAAGAACACAGATATGAAAGACAGGGACACTTTCTGTATCGTCAGTCGCGAGTCAGGTTATAAACGGCGGTTGTCACAAACTCAAGATCATATATTGATCGAGTGTGGGGATGAATCTAACTTCTGGGAGATCCACATACATATTTTTTGAGGGAAGTAGCTTTTTGTTTTATTACATTTTCGTTCCCAAAATGTCTGCGTTGTGTCTTCTTTTCTTCTAGACCACTAATCTGTTCTGTAAACGAAACACCTACGTGGAACCAAACATCTACCACATATAATTGTGTAAATATATATTATTATTTCCGTCTTGTACCTGATTATTTTTCACAAACAGTGGAGTGATTCTTCATGTTCGACTAACTTCAGTTGTTTCCTTCCTTAAAGCTAATCCTTTATTTTTGACTTGAGGGCAACTGAAGAGATCGACGAGTAAATATCTGATAGCCGGACATAGCAAGGGAAAATCGTACCTCACCAACATATTGTTGGGGTAGCCTGCCCGTTGCACTTCCTCTGGTTTTCTTGTTTCATTTGCTTACCCTCCATTTTCCTACAAGCTCCGATCTTCATACAGAGGACATGTTCAACAAACCATGGTAGACAATTAGTGGAAGAGGGTAACTGCTACGAGGAAGGACAAAAATCTAATAAAGTTTATGACGTCCATTCAGTATCTCTGAAATCTGACTAGAGGTTGAAATCATCGATTGAAAGTCAAACACTGAACGGGTTAGTAATTCTCCTGTGTGCTGAGGAAACCAAGCTGACGCGTTATTGTTTGATAAGTTGACCGAATCGACACTCCCACGGAAGTCGATTCTAATAGGAAGCTGATGTAACAACCTAAGCTGATTGGTTAAGAGTTGGTCACAAACATCCCAGTAATGTCTAGATATTATAGCTCAAGCATTTACTTACTCTCTCGTTTTGTAAAGGCATTGTATTTCCCATGATTTTACGTTGAAAAATTGCATTTGGAAAAGATAACCTCGAGCTCCAGCTTTTCTGTTCCTCAATCTAAATAAAGATCTATTAATTACTAGTCTGGTTTCATCTATCTACATAACGATGAGTGAGGACTACGGATACATCACACTATTATCAGTACCAAGAAAACCTTTCAACAGAGTGTCGTTGGATCAGATGGAAGATTCGGTAGACGCCCAACTTCGGAATCAGCATGCCTGATTCCGTAGGGATCGATCGTGCACAAACCAAACAGCGACACTACGGATCATTGTCGAGCAATCAGTTAAGTGAAATTTGTCACCACTCATCAACTTCTTGAACAATAAGGGAATATTACAATGTGGATAAGAGACCATTATGGAATCTTCTTCAACAATATGGTGTACTTGAGAAGATTATCAACATAATCAGGAATTTATACGACGGACTACTCTGCAAAGTTGTGTATGGTGTACAGCTGGTAGATGCATTCCGAGTGAGTGCTAAAGTCAAACAAGGCTGCCTACTCTCTCCCTTTCTCTTCCGGTGGCTGGTTTTGAGTTTCAAATATCCCCCAACCGTAGAAATGCTATTCTTACTTTGCCAATCCTTGCCTTCACGACTGCATCAGATCCTCCTTGTTCATCGATGATGCCAACCAGGAATGTGAAGGCTTTCACCCCCTCCAGAACTTCTCTAACAAGTGTGATTGGGGTGGTGTTCTCTGTGCTGTGTTTGAGGATCTTGATTTTTCCCTTGTGCATATTAAGACCTACCGCTGTAGAGGATGCTTCTACACTGCCTATCATCACCTGGA